ATTAAGTGTTAACGAGCAGTTGGACAGGTGTACCTAATAAAGTGGCCGGTGAGTGTAGATAGTCACAGGTACGGTAGGGACTGCACGGTGCGTCTTTCAGGCCCTGAGACGCTAGAGCACCTGGTCCTTGGCTGCCCAGGCTGCACCCGTTTCTGGAGCCAAGTGAGAGAGCTGCTGGAGGTCTCCTGTCCGGACGCATTAAAAGGAGAGAAGGACTGGAACTGGCTGAGGCTATTTGGGACAGCAAAGCCACACAAGGATTCCCAGCAGCTGCATTTGTGCAATATCCTGCTCTCATTGGCAAGACATGTGATCTACGTGAGTAGGAACTTTAAGCTCTATGAGGACAAGAACGTGGATCGATGGAGGCTGTTTTGGGGATTACTGATAGAACATCGCAGAGTGGTGATAAAGGCAGATGAACAGATGGGCCAGAAACTGTTTGAGACAATGTCACGATGGAGAGGATTCGGGAGAGAACATCTGATGGACAGCTGAAATGTAAAAACAGAAAGACTGTAGGAATGGAAGAGTAAAGGGGAGGAGTCCCCTTTTCTCTCCCCTTCTTTTGGTTTGCTCTTGAAACACAGAGGGTTGCTGTTTTAGTAAAAAAAATTTCATGTTGTTGCTTTTCTAGTTAGGGTTTTTTATTTTATTCTTTTTGGTGTAAATCAGGTTTTAATTTTGCTATATTTTGAAGAAGTGTAATTTTGGAGAGAGTTATGTCTCTAGAATCTATGACAGCTTCGGTTTATTTATTTATTTATTTATTTTTGGACAACTTGGACGTGATAACTTCTACATCCACGTGATGGCGCTCTGCGCTCCAAAAGTAGAGATGTTTTATGTTGTTACCTTGCATCTTCTAATAGTGTTTTTTTCCCTTCTCAGATACAGTAGACTGCTTCATATGTATTTGTGTAAATCTGTTTTTTTGTTACTGTGTATGTACACGCATTTACATTTAACTCGAAATTTTTTCATAATAAAAGATTTTAAAAAAAACACGCCCGATCTCAGAAGCTAAGCAGGGTCGGGCCTGGTTAGTATTTGGATGGAAGACCGACCAGGAATGGCCCATGATCCCCACAAGTCCATATCCCTGGACCCTCCTCTTCAGAAAAAATGAATAAAATGAAGATCAAAGACAGGAGGGGCCTACCGGCTTTTTTTTTAACTGTGAAATAATTAGCTGTTTGTATTGTTGCTTTTTATGACTACAAACTCTATTTTGATTAATAACTTATGGGCAAATCCAAGATTTGATGTCTGTAAGGCTAATTTACAAAAACCTATTTGAAAATAACAAAAGCCAACTGCATAATATAATGATAAAAGTGTTTTCCTACCTGTTTAATGTATCAGTTGAAGAACTTTTTTAATACATGGGTAATTTTAGTGACAATATTTGCAAGACAAAATACTTTTTATTAAACTTAATATCATGATACTTGATCAAACTGTAGTTTATGTCAATGGTAACATTTATTCTACCTGTAAGTTGTATTTCCTGGCTACTGTCAAGCTAAAATGTACATCTAATAAGGCATTTTATATCTCCTCACTAAAATGTGACAGGTAAGAACCAGCGCTATAAAGGAAGTAGGTACCAATACTTTTTTACTGTACTTAAGTAGAAATTTTGTTTCTGTACTTGAGTAACTATTCAACTACTGATTTTTACTTCTACTCCTTACATTTTGACACAATTATCTGTACTTTCCACTCTTACATTTAAAAAAAATATAAGAAGTTTCCTGGGAATAGCAGGTGCCGTAAGCTTTTGCACTAATGCAAAATCACGCAYCAGGGGGCGCCACACTTCTCTATTAACATCAACAACCATGTGCACAATACCACCAATACAATCAATTTTATTTCTATGGCATTTTAGAAGCTTTGAGTTCACAACTCATTTTCATTTTTTTGCATTTACATAAAAGCACATCAGGGTGYGCTCTCACAACTTATTAGACCAATAAAAATACACAACTGGATCAAAATAATTTTTGATCTAATGTTTTGTCTGGATTGACCTCTTGTGTCTGTGGCTCACCTCTTTCTTCCTGTGTGTGAATTTAACAGCTAAGTTTTATGGCTTTTTTTAACAGCCTATAAGAAAATGGCATCTTGAAATACATATTTGGCAAAATAGGCAACTTTGTTTTCTCCTCACATATAGCTCTGCTGTGTTATGTACACAATGTTAAGATCTTACAGCTCCACATTTTTCATGCTCGTGATTTTCAAAACACTTGTTAATTACACAAATRTGATCAACATCTACAAAATATGAGCGCCAGTATCACACTAACCTACAAAAGGAATTATTAATCTCATCTAATATTTTTTCTTCTCTGGATCATCCTCAAATTTCCTATGGACACTGGCTCTGCTCTTGTAACAAACTTTTTTTAAATCAGAAAATCACCTGCAACAATTGAATAAATACACAATTCTAGTTAATAATGATCAAAGACAAGTAGTTATTTTTTTCTCAAACGCTCAAGAACTACAATCAGTTTGAAGGCAAGAAAGTAGACATGTTGACAGCCAGTATCTTCTGATTGGAGGTTGGTTTGGGACAGCTTGGGGTCGACCAGAAGTGTTTGTGACTAATTTTGCATGGGACTGTGGACGAATTGTGCTGCCTACACCGCTCAAGTCAAACGGAGCCATYGGACAAAACAAGTCACGAGGTCGTGTTGTTTTACTTTGGGATGAGTTCTGGTCCTGTGGAGATTTGACCTGTGGCTGAGCAGAACAGCTGGTTTTTACCTGTGTTTCTAATTGCTGAACAGAAGTCAGCAGCCAATTCGACTGGCTGCACTGATGATGTGACGAATCCAGAGGAGAGAAACTGTCACAGGTATAGCTGCGAAAACAGTTTTAAATTAGTTTGCTATGTGTAGATTTTCCAATTCAGGATGTTTCAGATTACATTGTGCACCATTGTTTGCTTGTTTTTGCAAGTGACTAAATAAAAGGCTTACCTGCTGAATGAAGTCTGAAGAGAAGAGAAAGAAGAGGAAGAATAAGCCGGCCGGTTGAGTTTCTGTGGACTCTCCATGATAACATAATCATCCTGAGTTAACTCAGACATACTGTGGCTAGTCTGAGGGGACATGACCATGTAATCCCACCCTTCCTCACCCTTCTGAACCAATTCCCAGCTATGAATCCCACTGGCTGAATCACTGCAGYGCTCCGTCTTYGTTTCCATGTAGCGGTCTCTCTCAKGCTCTAAGCTCTGAAGGGTTCTAGAAGGACTGTGATGAGAGGTGAAGCTCAAGGAGGATTCAGATTTTGTGTCGTCTGGTTTCTGAGGGCTTTGTTGAGATTGTGCAGGACTAGATTGAGCGTTAGAGTTTCGAAGGTGCAGCACCAGTGGAGTAAGAGATTTCACATTAGCCGGCTTGTCTCTGGATTTAGGTCTGCAGCGTTTCGAGGCAAGAAGAGCTGGCTGCTGATTGTGTCTGGAGCTTGGTGACCTGCTGAAATCTGGAAGAGCTCGTAGTGCTTGTATCCTTTCTCGAACTGCCTCGTGAATGTTTTGGACCAGTGTTGCGTTTTCTRTTCAAAGAAGGTGAATGAAGTCAAGTTGCAACTCTGTTGAGGGAAAAAAAAAAATCGTACTTTTATCACAAAATTACCTCCACCTTCTCTTGCTTCCATCCAGAGCTCACCAGGACCATTAGGAGCTGACCTGCCAAGCTCCAAAAAGAAAAGGCCATCCATGTGTCCAAAGCGGCGAACGCTCAACAAAGGTATTGTAACTGATGGCAAGTCATTACTGGCTCCCAGCCTGACCAAGACCAGAGTTGTTGCTGTAAGGCAGAGTCTGTTCTCCCCTGTGAAGGGTTTGGAACTGCCRAGACCCCTTGCCTTCACAGTGACAGGCCAAACCTTAAAAGACAAGAAAGGAAGCTGGAACCACCAGCAAAATCTTTGCATACAACAATCTTCAACAAGGTCTTCTTGAATGAAAAGGTTTGTTTGTGTGATGGAAGAATATCTTCTGACTCCCTAACTGCATATTACCTTGRCATGTCCTGTTCTGTATCTCTTGATAACTTGTCATTATATAATCTGTTTCTCATGATTCTTAAGATACTGTATGTACTCATAATCTTATGGCTCGTTTACTTGTAACTATGTCATTGGTTCCTGGATATCTCTGACGCTCTTATTTTGTTAGCAGGATGTATATATTGTCTGTTTCCTGTTTCCGGATCAGCGTGAGCTTGACAGACGTTTTCAATTCACGTCTGTTCGAATCTGCTCATTCTCTGCATATGCATCTTTCTATTAAATAATATGAGACTGAGACCACACAGTTTCCACTTTGTTTATCTCCTGCATCTCTGCCCTGGCGAAACAGAGCCACTACAGATGGCGTTGTCAGTAAAGGACTCTTTCCGACGGCAGGCTAGCTCCATTCCGGGGCCGAAAAACTCTTTTTTTTACTGTTTTTTTTCCCCTCAAAACTGCTTGGGGGCTTTCTTTCGGCTCGGGGACGGGTGAGCTGCCCTGTCGTCGGAGGAGGAAAAAAAAAACAACCTAAATTTTTGGAAAATGCAGTGAGATTTATGACATGTGTTTGTATTTCGATGCTAAGCTAAAACTGTGCTGAATATTGCTACCAGGCCTCGCTAGCCGGGAACACATGAGTTTCTATGGGG